GTGGAGTGGCGCGGAGTGGCGGGTGAGTGTGAGCCTGTGGGCAGGGCCCCTGGGGGCGGAGCCTCACTGGGGTGGCTGAGGCCCCCCAAGTGGGCGGCCCCTGAGAGCTGGCGGGCTTGGGAGGAGGGGGCAGGGCTGGGTCAGGGTCAGCCATGGCGAGAGCAGCCCCCCAGCGATTTTCTACCTTCCTCTATCACCCTGGCCTGGGTTGGCCAGTGAGCTCATTCCTGCTCACCTGGAAGCTTTGACAAACCAAATTGCTCCTGTCACCCCTCCTGTCTGTCATTCTGTCCTCAGGCTGCCCTCTGTCTCTTTCAAGTCTTTAGCTGTCTTTGTGTTTTACTCCTGTCCTGACCTCAATTCACCTGGAAGCAGTGTACCCTCCATCGGACTGGGAAATGCCCAGGACAGGGGTACCTCGCCCAGCAGATCGGGAGCCTCCTAGGACGGAGGCTGCTACTCCCCCATAAGATCGGGACGGCCCCAGCATGAGGCTGTGTTTCTTTCTCGCTCTGTATCGGGCTCCCCACAAACCTACGCGGAGACAGGATCCGTGAGCCCAGAGATAGGCCCCCTCACCTACCTCTCTCTCGGGGCTGTCTCCAGACCAGCACCAACGCTGTCTCACCCACCTTGGGACCTTTCCATTCTCACAGCTGCCTGGAAGCAGGAAGCCAGGAGCTCCTGCTGGCCAGGAAGCTGCTCCCCCACCACCCACACGAGATCCTGCTTTTGTTTAATGAACGTGCTTGCACGTCCACTGTCCCCTCATGTCCCCGTCCTCACGCTGCTCGGGCTTCACCAGGAGACAGCCAACTTTCAGCATGTGGAGGACTCAGCCCCAGCCAGCAGGGCCTCTCTGGGGCCAAGTCCACTCAATCCTGTTGGTTAAGTTGACTCTGAGGCTGAGGGGTTCCCAGAGCAGGTGGGGAGGGGGACATCACTAGGGAAACCAAAGTGAGGGTGATGGTGGCATCACGGAGCTGTGTGAGTCCCCTCTCACGTGCTGCTCCGGTCCTGCACCCCCTTCCCTTTTCCATTGCCTTTGTCATCTTCCTGCGTGTGCCCTTTGCAAGTTCCAAATTGCTCCTATGCTCTTCACTGCATTCCATTCTCACAGTGGCCCAGCGAGGCATGCAGGGATGTATCATTATCTTGCCATTGACTCGTCACTGACTTGTCTGAGGCCACAAAGTGGGGGAGAGACAGAGCCCAGAACCGGGCGTCAGGCCGCCCAGACCAGGGCTCTTGACTAAACCAGAGCTGCCTGAGAGGGTCCCCAAACTCCTTCCTCATCTTTCTCCAGGAATGAGCGTGGGCTCGCTGGCTGTGTGGCCTCCATTAACGTACTAACGCTCTCTGAGCCTTGTTTTCCCTATTTGTGAAAGAGCCAATAGCTTCACAGACCTTTCATGAGGTTGGCATAGGGCAGAGTGGCACAGACCCAAAAGGATCTCTTCCTCTGGTCTGGGCTGGGTGGGGAGGCAGGAGATCTTTGTCAGGGGCCTGCTGTTACAAACAGACTGTACTCCAGGTCTCCCAGCTAGTGGGACAAAACCGTGTGCTCCTCACTCAGCATCCAGAGCATTGTCATAGCAACTGCCAACCTCCTGCAGGATCATTCCACATCTTTTCAAACAAGAGAGGCCTCTGCCTGCCCCAGTCTGGGCTTCGGTCTGAGCACCTCTCTGGGCCCACAGAATTCCCAGATCTGAGCAGGAAGCACAGACGAGGGAGGCAAAGAGGAAATATAATTCCATGATGAGTCTAGAAAGCTGTGAATAATTTGGAGGGCAAGGGCATGGATGGACACGTATGGGGCGTACGTGGACACCAAAGATGGACAAGATCCCATATCCAAAGCTCTCTGAACTTTATTTGTTAACTGCATTCATGATTTTGGTTGCAGTCCAATAGCCTGTCGTATTATTTCCTTAATATTTTACTTCATACAAAAGCACCTTAAAAAACTGACTTCAAGGAACCTAATGCTCTTATAAATGTATGATGAGTATCACATCCTATAAATGGATGGGAACCATAAAAAATACCACAAAAATCTTTTGTTAGATTCTACCCAGAAACTACTGTGTGCAGAAAGCTCTGACTTGAGGCCTGCCCTCTCCTTGTTGAAAAGGGAGACCAGCGGTGTTAATACGCGCTATTCCTGTCCTGTGTGGCAGCCACCAGCCACGTGTGGCTGTGTAAGTTTGAATTAAAATGAAATAATATGAATAATTCAGTCCTTCAGTTGCAATGGGCACATATCAGGTGCTCAGTACCACATGTAGCTGATATACCATATTGAACTATGCAGATCTAGAACATTCCCATCATCACAGAAAGTTCTATTAGACAGCACTGCTTTAGAACCGAACTGAGGTTTAATCAGACTAGGGTTTTTCCCCAGGACAGAGCTGTGTCTTTGCCCTAGCCTGAGCCCACAGCCCTGAGGACAGTCTCTGCCATAGGCTCCACTGCCAGCAACCGTGATCCCCATCTCACTCAGGTTCTGTCTGAGCTCGAGGGTCCCCAGTGGAGGGCAGAGCCTGGTGCCCCATGCCCCATCTGCAGGCTGGCCGCCCTGCCTGCCTGCCAATCCCTGCTTCCTCCTCTTGAGGCCCCAAGAGCTTGCTCTCCTCGTCACCATCAGAATATTGAGGTTATGCAGTGAGTTTCAGGACGTGAGCCCTTGGGATTAGTTGTATTTGGCTCTGAGCCCCAGATGTGCTGGGGAAGACACCCCAGGATGCCAGCTGTGCCCACCATGGCTTCCTATCAAGGAAAGGGAGCTGGGCAGCCAGGAAGGGCAGAGGAGTGGGTGGATCAAACCCCAGGTGTCTGCCTGGAGGGATGAGGTAGGCCGTGATGGAGGGAGGTCTTACTTTTCATTGATTCCCTTGTTGTGTGGCATCATCATGGATAGCCTGGCAGTGGCCAATAAAAAGGGATGACCACCCTATAGCCCAGTAGGTGTGGTGGTGGGAAGGGACCTGGGGCAGAGGGCATTGCCCAAGACAGGATGACCTCCCAGCAGTGGATACAGCCCTATGATACCATTACCTATCATGCCCTTGACCCACCAGGCCTTTGCATGTGCTCTTCCCATGGCCTGACATGCCTTTCCTTTCACCTCCACTTGACATCTAAGAGGCTGTATTGGGTGGTTTTGGGGGGAGGGGAAGGTGTGGGAGATTGTCCCCTATGGGAGGGGCTTAGACCTATTCATGTAACAGACATTTGAAGCCATTGAGTAAGAACAGGTGGGAACAGGACAGCAGGGTCTGGGCACAGGTGTGGACACTTCCTGAGGGACTTTGGGCACTTCCTGGTGCCTCCCTGTGATTCAGTTTCTCCCCTCCGTATGGGTGTGAGCACATGATCTCTGAGGTTCTTCCAACTTGACTCACACCGAATGCTCTGAGCACAGAGTACTCGCCCACACATGGCACATATAGATGCTCCATCAGGGCTCTGATGAATGAATGAATGACAAAGCAGAAGGGCATCCAGGAATACCAAAGATGGATATAGAAAGGTAGGGAGAGGTGGAGATGGAAAGGTGGGAAGAAAGAGAAATGAAGGCAAAGGAAGAAAGAGGGAGAAAGCAGGATGTGGGGGAAGGAAGGTAATCTGTGCTTCCTCTCCTCCCTCTCCCTTAGTTTCTCTTCTCACTGGCCCCCCCACTATGAGCCCCACTGGCCCTGCAGGGACTGCTGAAGGTGTGGCTTCAGAGCCCTGGCTAGGGGACTCCTTGCTGGCATCCCCTCTGCTGAATCAGAGATGGTAAGAGGCACAGGATTGATGGGGATGGGGAACCAGTTCAGTCCTCAGGATGTCTTCAGCCCTGACTACCAAGGAGCTTGATCAAGACCTTCCTGCAGACATCCCTGGCCTGAATCTGGGACAGAAACAGATTCCTGACCTTATAGCCCCATCCGGAGCTGGGAATGAGCTGGCTCCAGACTCCTGGTCTCTCTCTGCACAGAAAGCAAAGGCCTTTGCCCACCTGCAGGGTCCAGGGTGGAAGTTAAGGGATTATAGGAATGGGGCCATGGCCACAACCAAGGTCATCAAATTAGGTCTCCTCTTCCAGTCTGAAAGGTTACTCAGAGATCCTGGAACATCCCGGGAAAGGCCTTTGTGTGGAACTAAAGTAGTCCAAACCCTGCATGTGATAAATGGGGAAGCTGAGGCCCAAGATGGGAAGGTAGCCTTCCTAGGGTCATAGTTTGGGGCATTTAGGGGCAGAGCTAGGTCTGGAACCTAAGCTTCCCAAGTGCCAGCCCTGAGTATATGCATTTGCTCTCTTCCTCCCTTCCTTCTTGCCTTCTTCCTTTCCAGTTGTTGCGCTGTTTTCCCAAAATGCAATAGCGTCATTGTTCAAATGTCATTTAAATCATTTTTTAAATGTTTGAATTATTGTCATTTAAAAAATACTGAACTGTAAACAAGTGTGAAGAAGAAAACAAAAGTTCTATCACCGTGAAGGTTAAGATTCGTTAATCTTTTGAGTGTAGTGTTCCATTAATATGTCATGCATGCTTTTTCCAAAAGTGGGATTTATTTTTGTACAGTGGTTTGTACCTTTTTCTTAAAGTCAGGCTTATTGAGACATACCAAATATACAGTAAGATTCTCCCCTTTTGGGGGAATATGGTTCTAGGAATTTTGAATGTATTCAGTCATGAAACCGCCTCCTGAATCTTATATCATGGACATCCTTTCATGTCAGCAGAAATAACCTAAATGCCCAACTATAGGGGATTTTTAAAATAAAAGGAATAATTGCGCCAGAAAGTATTTAACCAATCCCCTAGGGCTAAGCATGGAGGCTGCATCCCACCCTTCACTCTGATAAACAGTGCTGTGGGGAGCACCCTTCTCCTTGTGCTGAGGGGGCATCTGATCCTCAGTGAAGTGATGGGTCTGAGGGTGGGCACAAAGCACCCCTCTATCTCACTAGGACCCCAACTTCTCCTCCCTCTCGCTGGCTGTAGGGAACCGGCTGGATGAGGGCTCAGATGTGGAGTCAGAACCCGACCTCCCTCTGAAGCGCAAGCAGCGCCGCAGCCGGACCACGTTTACGGCTGAGCAGCTGGAGGAGCTGGAGAAGGCCTTTGAGAGGACGCACTACCCAGACATCTACACCCGCGAGGAGCTGGCGCAGAGGACCAAGCTGACTGAGGCGCGCGTCCAGGTGCGGAGGAGCCTCGGTGTCCGTGCTGGGGGCGTGTCGCAGACTTCTGGACTGAGAAGGTGGGGCGGCCAGGGATCGAGACCTTAGTGGGCCCCAGAGAGTTCTGCAGCAGGTGCTCCGGGGACCTGTAACGACAAGGAATGCCACCAGCACTTGATGCAGAGTGAGTGGGCAGTCGACTGATTGGTGGGCAGCCCCAAGGAAGCCAGGCTCTGCAGGATTACATTCATCCCTCCTGGCAACAAGTGCTTCCGGAAAAAGAAGGAGAGGGGAGAAGAAAAGGATGAAGAAGGAAGGAAATGGGAGAGAGAAGGAATGGCATTGGTTCAATGGGAGATGAGAGGGAGAGAGGAAGGAAGGGCATTGGTTCAACTGGAAGAGAGGGCTCGGGGAGTATAAAAATCTTCAAAGCTCTGATGAGAGAAGGAAGTGGGTAGGAGGAAAATGTCTGAGAGGCCTAGTCTTCTAAGTTGGGTAATGAGTTTCCCCTTATGGGAAGCATGCAAGCAGACTGGGTAGGCACATGCCTGGTAGGTTAGAAGCATCAGAAGGAGGATGGGCAGACCTCACACACCCCCTCCACGCCCTCAGGTGAGTGGTTCCTAATCAGGGGGGCAGGGGGAGGGTGAGCATAGAAAGAGCAGCCCCTGCCTGGGTTTGTGGGCTGCCCCCATTGCCTGCTGGCCTGTGGTGGGGAAAAGGGGCTGCCTCCTCTCCCCAGACTGAGCTCAGATTCCCTGAGAGCAGAGAGGGTCTTTGGGGGCCTAGCTGGGAAGGGCTCTGGCTGGGCAGGAGTGGGGGAGGAAAAGGTCGTGATGAGTAATAGCTCCCGTGGGGATGCATTCCTGACCTGTCTTCTCCAGGAGCCAGGGAGGCAGGTCTGTGGGAGGGGCCGCCCCAAACTGCTCACCAGGGGCACTTCCATCCTAGGGGAACCAGCCTCTGCTGGGGACCCACCTGTGCCAGCCACGGCACTCAGGGTGTCTAACACATGACCTGGTGGGACCTCAGACCACCTTGTCAGGCCAATGTGGTCCCCAAGCCACAGATGCAGAAACTGAGGTCCAGAGAAGCAACATGCCGAGAGTCACAGAGCTTCGTGGGGGCTGAGCTGGGCCTGGAACTAGGGGAGGCAGATGCCAAAGCCCAGGTTCTTTCCATCCGGGAGAAGAATAGAGCTTGGGATTTGAAAGCAATAGGGAAAGTTCTAGAAGCAAATTGGCATTTCAGCACTCCAGGAACCAACCTACCTCCCTCTGCCCTCCTCACCCCCACTCCCAGAGTGGGGGGGTCCCTGGCTGCCTTTGAGGGAGACCCCAAGGGGCAGGGGGCAGGCGGCAGCAGCCAGCTCAGCTCATTCCCTCCCCTCCTGTCCCGTGATATCCGAGCCTGCCCAGCCCTGAGCCTCCTCCCCCGCCGACCCTCCTGCAGCTGTTCCCCTGGGCACATTCCTGGGTGCTTTCTCATTCCCATGTCTGGCGGCCACGGCTGCTTCCCACCACCTTGAAGGCTGGCTGCTCCTTGTAAAACTTCCTGGCTGTCAGGACAGGGCTTTTATTGGCCCAGGGGACCCAGAAACAGGTGTCACTCAAGGTCCGAGGAGGGAGGAGGGCTGGGAACAGGGAGAGCAGCCGGGGCCCTGGCAAACCCACAGTGAGGGGGCCGAGGCAGACCTCCTCCAGGGGGTCTCCCCTGTTGCACTTTGGGCTCCTCCAGGGCAGGGCTGGGCCTCCCCCTCCTCAACTTAGTGTAAGCATTTAGCCTGATCCCAGTGGAGGAAGAATCAGTGTATGTTGAGTTTTTGGAGAATGAACAACGGCTGACCAAAAACATCAAGACAGGAATAATGGAACATTTGCCCTGGAGAAGAGAGGACTTGGAAGACGCAGCTGCTCCGGGAGGCCCAGAGGGTAGGACCAGGTTGAAGAGGGAATGTCTCAAGTCCCGTAGAAAGGTCTGCAGGGATAAAAGCACAGTATGGGAGCCACAGACCTGGGTTCCCATCAGACCCTGCTTCTGATAAGTTATGTCACCTTCCTTTTGTGGGACTTAATTTCTCATCTCTAAATGAAGGGATTGAACTAAGTGCCCACTGAAGCTCCTTATTAAGGCTCCATGAGCCTTGCTTATTGACAATCAGAGCAGCCTTGGGTGGTGATGAGATCACCGCTACAGAAAGCATTCGAGAAAAAGTGCTGTGTCCGGGAGACCAGAGACCCTGGTGAGAGCCTCCTGCTGTGGGCAGTGGGGCGGAGGCCACAGAGCCCCCCTGAGCAGGCTTAGAGTTTATGGCCCTACACTTTTGAGGCCTGGATCTCTGATTCTAAGAGTCCGTGGTTCTGGGATTTTGCAATCTGATGCCTCCTCATCTCAGCGGCCCTGGGAGATGGTGGGATAGTGGAATGCTTCAAAATGGGCCCAGAGCCGGATGCCCAGGTGTGAATCCCAGCTCCATTGCTTAGCCCTTCTGCCCTCAGTTTCCTCGTCTGAAAAATGGATATGACAATAATGGGATCTACCTCAGTCTGAAGATTAAATGATGACATGTAAAAAAAACCCTTAAAATTAGGAAGTTCCTGGCACATAGAAGTGCCCTATGTGGGGGCTGTTGTTATTAAAACTCCAACTGTTCTTGGTGGTTCTGATTCTGGCCACCCTTGAAACTCCAGGTTCAGTCATTTGACACTCATTTATTGAACACCTACTGTGTGCTAGACACTATTCTAGACACTGGGGCTTCAACAGACAGAATCTCTGCTGTCTTGGAGCAGGTGTTGGAATAAACAAGGAAGTATATGTCAGACAGGGTTCTAGTAATACAAATGTGTTACCTCCCTCTGATTCCCCCTCCAGTCCTGCTTTTGAGGCCTACAGGGTGTTAGATGGCACCCCTGTTGTTTAGCAGAGACACCCCTGTCTCACTTCCAGAAAGCCTGAGCCGCCAGAAAGGGTAGGGCACTGTGTGTTAGGCAGGAGGACACATTCTAGAAACAGGCCATCCTGAATAGGATCCCATTTTGGAGGCACTAGAGGGACTTGTTAATTAGCACCTTCCACTGAATCTTTTCATAACACTAGACAATATTTATAGTATATTTTTTATGTGCCAGGCATGATGCTCAACTTCACATACTTTGTCTTTATCAACCTCACCATAATCCTAGGAGGCAGGTATGATTCGTCTCTCCATTTCCAGATGAGAAGCCTGAGATTTAGCTAAGGGAAGTAATTTCCTAAAGACACAGCTAATAAGCCACAGTGTTGGGGCTTGAACCCAAGTCTGTCTGCCATGTTCTTTTCCTCGGTATCCCACTGAGAGGAGGGCCAGGAGAAATACTCAACTCAATAGAGACTTCCTAAGGGGTCCTGCTCCCAGTGCTAGGTGTTGAGGGAAGGATCAGAAATGAATAATAAGACTCAGCCTCTGTTTTTGAAGAACTCAGCCCTGATCAGGGATTCTGGGTGGGGTCCTGGGGCCACCGCTGTCCCTCCGGGACCCTCCTTTTCTCACCTGTACATGGGCAGCGTGAGCTAGATGCTGACTGACAGCTCTCCCACCTCCACCCACAGAGGGTTTCCAGCAGAGTATAACAGTTGTAGATGTGGATCTAAGCCCTGTACCTGCGTTGACTCACTTGAGGTCCAGAAACACCCAGGAGCTGTTATTAGCCATTGTGCTATTATTAGTCACAAAGAAACAAGAGAGAGATCCTGCTCGTCTCTCTGTCTTAGCACCTTGCTTGGCATAGAGCAGAGCCCCAGTAAAGGTCTGAGATGAGCAGAAGGGAAGGACGGAAGGAGGGAAGGGGAGAGTCGGAGGAGGTAGAATACTCCCAACCTTATTTAGTGCTCTGTTTGGGGGAAAAACCCGCACCTGCAGACCAGCCAACTCTAAGTCACTCCCCAACCATCTTTAAGAATTTTTGCCACATTTGCATATCATCCATATTGTTAAAATTTATTATTTAATGAAATTGATAAATTTGAAAACAAAAGTGTATATCGCACTCATGAAAGGCTGGCAATTGGAGCTGCACATGCAAGAGACAGCGAGGCGACAGGCGAAGCCCAGCAGGAAACCCCGCCTGCAAGGGCGTCCTCTCTGCGCGGAAGGGGAAACCAGCCGGGGTTAGAAGAAGCCACCAAGGACGCACGCGCCCCAGGCTGAGACCCAGCGGGCCTGGAGAACATCTGTGTGAAGGGGTTCAGAGCTACTTAACATGGGTCGCTCTCCATCTCAATGTCTCCCCACCACGGAGTGGTAGGAGGCCCAGCCTTTGGGAAACACCGAATTCAAACGAAAATACCTCCCACACCCTCCGAGCAGGGAGTGAGGAGACTCTGCCCAGTCCTCCCAGTTCAGAAGCACCTCAGTTTGCCTGGCGGCCTCCTTCCCACCCAGGACACCCCTGGGAAAGCCCTCAGTGCCTGAGGGACGTGGGCAGAAGCCAGAACATTAATTATATTTGGGAGCCAGTTTTCGCTCCAGATCTGGCTGCCTTGCCTTCTTTCTTCGTGAGTCCTAAAAATGGGTCACAGCCACTCTCCTGTTCCTCCATCTTGGAAAGTTGAATGTGGTTCCTCCCCTGGCGAAGGACCCGGAAAAGACAAAGGACACCAGGGGCACCAGCGCCCCTGTCCACTCTGCTGGGACACCATCCCACGTCAGAGGCATGGTCTGAGGTCTGGGGGTCCTGGGCACATGCCAGCGGCGGTCAGGGTCTTCACCCCACCAGGAGGGGCTCCCTGCGGAGCCATGTGGCCTGCCCTAGCGAAGACGCACCAGAGCTGTCTCCACCTCCCCTTGCTTGGTACTTTATTCATGCACAAGTGCTCAGTGAGCCCCTGGAACAGCAAGCATGAGCAGGAACTCATGGCCTCTGCCATGGGCCTGGAACCGGAGCGGGTATACAGAGAAGCAGAGCCATGAAAACACGCAGTAGGGTAAGTGTGGGTGCAGGAATCTCACGAGGAAGCCAAGGCCTCTGGAGAGAAGGCAGGGGACCTGCGTGAACTACCTTAGATGCAATGATGAGGGAATAGGAGCAGGATGCATTTCAGCTGAGCCTGCAGGCAGAGGAGACAGCTTCTGGAAGGGTGTTCAGGTTTGAGGGAACAACATGTGCAAAGCCCAAAGGTGGAAAAGAGCCCCTCTCAAAGCAGCCCCTCTTTCTCACACTCGGTCACCTCTTCCTCCAGCACATCCCAGGGAAGTTGTTGCAAATTCAGACAAGCAGGTTCTAGAAAGCCAGAGTGATGTAAGAACCTCAGAGGCATACAGACTACTTGGATGACTTGGGCAAGTTATTTGACTTCGGTGAGCCTCAGTTTCGCCTTGTGTAAAATGGGAATAGAGGACATATCTCATGGGTCTACATATGGACAGACATGTGAAGAGTTAGCACAGGGCTTGGGGAAAAGGGAAACTCAAAGATGTTTAATAAATAACATTCCACTGATGTTCAATAAATCCCTGTGTCCATGTGAGGTGGGCTTTCCTAATCAAGGGGCCCATGCTGGGTAAGCCAAGTAGGGCCTCAGGCCCCAAACAAAGACCGTGCTTTCACATCTATGTCTGGCCCTTGGGTCTCATTCAAGTGGGGTCTGGATGTGTGGCTTCCTCTTTGGGGGCTTCCTGAAGGAGGTGAGGGGTGAGCAAGTACCAGAACAATGACTGTCACCCATCGACATCACTTGGGACAGGAGCAGCTACAGTGGAAAGAGCACTGGACTGGGAGTCCCCGAGACCTGGCTGTGCCTCTGACTCACGTGGGCAAGTCACCCACTCTCTCTGCATCTCCATTAGCTCATCTGTCAACACAGGGGATAAGGATGACAGCTCCCTCTTGGGGGGATCGTGAGGACAGGATGGGGTCATTCCTATGAAAGCACTCTGCAAATGGTCCAGAGCTGCAGGAAGGTGGGAATCTGCTCCTGTGGCGGAGGATGCTGAGGATGCTGGCTGGACAGAGGGGGATGGCTCAGGGGATGGTGCTACCTGTGTCTCGGCTCTCCACCAGGAGCCAGGCTGAGGGCTCTCCATTCTTCTCCCCCCAGGTCTGGTTCAGTAACCGCCGCGCCCGTTGGCGTAAGCAGGCAGGGGCCAACCAGCTGGCAGCGTTCAACCACCTTCTTCCAGGGGGCTTCCCGCCAGCCGGTATGCCCACGCTGCCCCCCTACCAGCTGCCGGACTCCACCTACCCCACCACCAGCATCTCCCAAGGTGAGTGCCCCTTCATCCTCCCCCCGGGCCCCGCCCCTCCTTTCTCTCCTTTGCAGAGGACTAATAAGGGTTATTATTTTTATGACCACTTGTCCACTTTCATATGGACAGACTATTAAGACAAGGCCACTGACTCAAGCCCTCCCCTGGGTGTCTCCTCAGATGGGGGCAGCACCGTGCACCGGCCCCAGCCCCTCCCACCATCCACCATGCACCAGGGGGGGCTGGCTGCGGCCGCCGCCGCCGCGGACACCAGCTCGGCCTACGGAGCCCGCCACAGCTTCTCCAGCTACTCAGACAGCTTCATGAACCCGGGGGCGCCCTCCAACCACATGAACCCCGTCAGCAACGGCCTGTCTCCTCAGGTAGGTGGCTTTGCCGCCCTGCCCAGAGTCCCATCCCCAGGTGACGCAGGCTGGCTCTCCCTTGGGGAAGAATTCACTGGTCTCCACAAACTGCTGGCCACTGATACCTTGAGAGAGTTGAAGGGGGAGAGGGGAATTTTCTTCCACCTTCACTTGGCTGTATTCTGTGATGCTTCACGCAGAGTTTATCTTCTTTGAGCTGCAGACCTGGGCAAGCCAGTGGGTGGCTGTGGAGAAAGGATTTCCATAGCAAGTTTCCATACTTCTTGCTTCCCAGACACAGCAGATATTGTAAGGCTGTAAGGCTTGCTCCAGGTCCAACAGCCACCCAGAGCGTATGAAATGGGCCCACCACCCACCTTGTAGCTGTTTAGTCCAGAAAAGTCAGGCATTTTCTGACATCTCTTTGCCAGAAGCCTCGCCTGGGCTGTGGTTGGGGCTTTGTTCTAGAAGCCGAGTCCTTCCTGGATTCCATCCCGTGCTCTGTCTCCCACATTTCACCAGGAGTTGGACCAGCAAGCGAAAGGCAGGACATGTCCTGCTGCCATGGGGAAAATTGCAGCTGGGGTTCTAGACCCGAAACTCCTCCTGTGGGTTTTGGAGCCCCCCACTCACGTGTGGCTGGCTGCAGGTTAAGTCGCTCACCGCCTGATGGCGCTGTTGGAAGTTGTGGGACCTTTAGGTGAAGTCAGCAAAACAGTGCCAAGAGGGGTGGTGATCCCTGGAGGGCTTGGGGGAAAGGACTTGGTGGTGTTGAAAGTACCAGGGAGTCTGAGGAACTCATGGGTTCCTTTTCGTAGCTACAGCAGACTCCCATCTATCTATGGAGGAAGGAATTAAATCCAAGACTGGTCTCACCCTGCTCCCCTCCCCCCACCTTCTGTGACCCCTCCCACCTGTCCGCGTGAGAATGCCTGTGAAGCCAGCTTATCAGAACAGCTGGAGTGCAGTGGAGAAGGTGAAGGCTGGGACGGGCTGAATCCCAGCTCACTGCTCACGGTGTTAGGCAAGTAAGCATCTCTGAGCCTCAGTGTAACCCCCACTAAACAAAAGAGAATTTAAACAAGAGCGTCACTAACCTCCTAAGAAGGGTGTTCTCTGCATTCAACATACTAATAGGCCTAAGTGCCTAACACACAGCCTGACACAAAATGAGGGCCAAATAAACATTCATTCTCTGGCCCCATCCCTTGCCAGGACAACATAATTAGTATGAGAAAACTGTCACCTGAATGAAGATAAGAAGGGAACCAAAGGGAGGCATCAGCTACATCCAACCCCCACAACCCCAGCCATGTCTATCCAGCTACCTGTTTTTATAAATAAAGTTTTATTGGGACACAGCCATGCACATTCACTTAAGTGTTCATGGCTGTTTTTGTGCTACAACAGCAGCATTGAGTGGTTTCAAAAGAGACCATATGGTCTGCAAAGCCTAAAATATTTACTGTCTGGCCTTTATAGAAGCAAACTGCCAATGCTGGCCTACAGTATTCCCAAGAATGTTGATTCTGCATGCTTTGGGTTGACTCCTGTTTGCCACTACTAATGTGTGCAGTTGAGGGCTAATTGCATTTCAGTTCTATTATTTACTTGTGGTTAGATCCTTTCCACTCTCTATGCCTCGATTTTCTCATCCATGAAATGGGGGTGATACAAGCACCCACCTCATAGGGTTGTTGAGGATCCAACGAGATGGTCTGGCCCAGGTCCTGTGCAGAGGTGAACACCAGGTAGACATAAGTAGCTGCATGCAGATGTCCTAGCTGTTTTGCACCATGTCTTCTCGGAGTCCACATTATGCAGGGAGATGCAGCCTACAGACTAGAATGTTTTCCCAGTGGAGCCTCACTGGCCTCTTTGGGGTTCAAGGCCATGCCCTGGTCCTGTCAGTGCTAATAACTAACTGAGCCAACCTTCCAGAGTCAGATGATAGACATGACAGGATCCCAGAGCTGGCTGGGTGAGGATGGCTGCAAAGACCCAAGGTGTCCACACCCGACATCATGGTCCAGGCCTGGCCTTATGGTATGAAACAAGTTGGAGGAGTATCACCGGAGATCTGAAGAGGGACACTGAGGTTATGTGGGCCAGCCGTCTCCCTTTACAGATGGTGGGCGGGTGCAGGACCTACTGGCTGGCTGGGGCCAAGTGCAGGGCACCTGGCTCCCCAACCACTACTCTTCTCGGCCCACCCTCTCAATGCAGGCCAAAGCTTATCCCCAGAGCAGGGCTTTTGCCACAGGCAGAGAGACTAGCAAACAAGGGGCTTCTGGCTTCTGAAGTGTGGCTCAGCAACAGGATCAGAGTGGGGATGTTCCCTGTACCGTTTGGGCCCCGAAATGAACCTCAGGGAGAGAGGGAAGAACAGAAACTGACTCAAGTAGCCAGATCAAGCCCAAGCCTCTTTCCACCTGAGCTGCACCCTCACCCCTCCTCTGGGAGACCCTCCAGGGCTTCCTCCCCATTCCTTAGGGCGGCGAGAACAGGAGGGCATGATGGATTGGGTGAACTTTGGAGACTTGCCCAGAGGTTCCCACCAAAGGTGTGAAGACAGATGGAGGGTCTGACAGGGGCAGAGGGGCCCGGGCGGCGAACAGCTGCTGGAGGGGGAGAGGGGCCATGCACAGGGCAGACTGGAGGGCAGGCTGTGTGTGCTACTGTGCGGGTGACCCGCTGGGGTTAAGCTGAGAACACTTCCTGGAGGAAGGTGGAACGGAGGCAACGGGGGCTCCTGGGTCCTGTACAAAAGTTCCTGGCACTTCTGAGCCCCGATTTCCTGCGCGCCCACCACTGTCTGAGCAGGCCTCGCATGTTGTCGCACATCTCCGCTCGATGGGAGTTGGGGGTGGGGCTCCCAACAAGACAGGTTCATTTCCCATGTCCTCAGTCTGACTGGGGGACACAGTCCCTGGCCTGAGGAATGCCCCATCTGAGACGTCCCGTGTCCCCAACAGCAGGGGTTTCTCTGTAGCTCACCTGGGCAGGGGGGAAAGGATGGGGCTTCCTTCTGGGCTAAAGGGCTGGCACACAACCCTCACCTAGGATTAGAGGTCCTGCCACTGTCACCTGGATACCCTTGGCCCTTGTTCTTACAAAAGCCCAAGGGGATGATGGTGGGGGTGACGTTGGGGCCCCGCTGAGCACTTGCTTGTCACACTGGTGGCCTGCGGCTGCCTTGGGAAGTGCCTCCTCCTGGGGTTGACCTGGATCCTTGTCTCAGACCCAGCCTGGCAAGCAGGTGCTGCGTAGTCTCAGCAGCTCCAGGGACAGACTGTCCAGCAGAATCTCACAGAAAAGCCATTTATTCATCTCAGCTCTGTGCCTGCTCCCGGGCTCTGGTATAACAAATAGTCATGGAGTGCCTACTATATGCGAGGCACTGTTCTAGGCACGCAGAATAAAGCAGTGACCATAAAGGATGAAGAACCCTGCCCTAGTGAAGCTGGCGGTTTGATAAGACAGACAATAAACCATACAACGTCTCTAATTCTGATGTTGATAAGGACAAACTTTCTGGGCCCATATGTATCAGACCCTGTTTGGAGGGTTTTCTACATGCTAATCTATTTGAAGGGTAAAGCCAAGGTTCTCGAAACCCTCATCTCTAAAGCCTGAGATCTTAACCACTCATGCTGCCTCCTGCCTAAGCAGTGCCCACATTTGCTCTTCTGGTAGCAAGAAGTCATCTCAGGAAGCCAGACCCTTCAGCTCAACGGAGGGGAAAGTTCATTCAACCCATGTCATGGATGAGTAAACTGAGACTGTGACCTCAGATTAGGGGCCAGTGAACAGAGCTGAGTCGTACAGGCAAAAGCAACTGTTTAGATACATTTCGGTAACCATGAGGCTTGCTTCCCTCATAGCCCAGCCCCTCACGCATTCCCACAGTCCACCCTTATAGGATCAGGGACTCAGGACTCAGGACGTGGACATTCCCAGCTTTGTGCACTGGGTCCTTCTCAAGAGCTGTAAGGAAACAATACTGCCCAGGGGAGCTCATCTCTGATGGCTCAGGGGGCTAGGACTCGCAGACCCCAGCCCTCTCTCTCCCCTTCACTCCAGCCTGAGGGCCAGTTACTTGAAAACAACTCCTAGAGAACAACTCAGGACAGCTTAGGACAAAAGAAACCTTTTGTGACAAGAGCGTCTTTGATCTGGTACCTGCATGCCAGCCCATGTCTGGGGATTGTAAGCAGGGAACACCTTCACGGGTAGCGGGCAGAGGTATAAATGGACACCCAGGCCTGCCCTTAGGAGTTCCCCAGTCTGATAGGGAGACACAGCCCCTGCCCCGAGAAGCACCCTGCCTGAGAGGAAGGACCCTACTTCTGTCTTCAGGAGCTCATAGTCTGATAGAAGAGGAAAACCCCTTATCCTTAGATGCCCCAGTCTGATAGCAGAGGCCAGCCCTCTCCTGCAGACTCCCCAGTGTGATGGAAGGGACGGGCCTCCGAAAGTGATTCACAGCCGCACTGCCTGCCAGTCCAAGCACCCACGCGAAGCACCGGGACCGAAGGGCTGTCATTTTCAGGGTCATTTGGGTGGAAGGCTTCAGACAGGGTGCCCTTTGCAGGGGCTTCTTCAGGGCCTCTGTTGGGGTATCCCTGGGGCAGCTGCTAGCTCCAGCTTCCTGCTCCCCTAAGCCTTTTTAGACACAGACTCTACCAGAGTTGGAAGTGGAAACTGAGGCCCAGACAGGGTGAGAAGCTTGCCCAGTTGGGTGCAGAGCTGGGACTAGCACCCAGGGCTCCCGACCCCGAGCAGAGGGCTCCTGGCACCGCCTCCCGGAGGGGCTGGTTCTGTCTGGCCACCATTGCTCATTTTGCTCCTTCCTAGTGTCCCACTTTGGTTGTGTCCTTGCTCCTTCGCAGAGCTTAACACGGAGGAACCTGTAAAAGGGATTGACACATTTGCAATTCCCCCCACACTGAAGTAATGAAATATTCTCTAGGTGTGCAGCTAACCACAGGGCCACCATCACAGGAAACCAAGCCTTT